TTCTCACCACTGTTATTCAGAAATGGGTGTATTCAGTTAAAGAGATTTGATTTAGGGGCACCTGGGTGGCTGAGTTGGTTAAGCCTCCAGCTCTTGATTTCGGCTCAGGTCATGATCTCAGGGTTGTGAGATCGAGCCCTGTGTCGGGCTCTACTCACTGTGGAGTCTGCTTGAGATTCTCTCTCTCCGTCTCCCTCTACCTGTACCACCACTCATGCTCATTCTCTCTCTCTCAAATAAATTAGTCTTTTAAAAAAGATTTGATTTAATCTTAATTTCATTATTATGTGTTAATTTTGATAAATATTTTAATTTTTTAATTTTGATTTAAGCAATACATTATTGTAGTTACATACGATTAATGTATTAGTCACATTATGTATTTATCTATATATATTATGCATTTTGCAAATTGTTTAACTTACTTTTTCTAATATACAGGTGCATAAAATGAAATGAAAGGTATAATCAGTTAGTCCCTTACATATTGAAGGCCAAGAATGTTCAGTTTACTCATTGGCTGTGGAATTGAGAAGGCAATGAAAAATATCCTGAGATAAAGAATTTTTGCAAAGGTTCCTAAATTTTAATGAAACTAGAGGATTGTAATGTTAAGGTGTTTGGGAGTTATAAAAACTAAAAACATATATTGCACTTACATTTAAGGGATTTTTTCAGTTCTGTTGGAATATAATTTATATACAGTAAAATCAACTTAAGTTCACAATTTGATGAGTTTTGACAAATGTTTAAGTTATGTATAATAACATCAAGAAGTTATGTATAATAACTTCTGCAATCATGGTAGGAATATTGCCATCACTCCCAAAATTACCTCCTGTCCCCTTGCAGTCATTCTGTTCCTCCAGTCGAATCACTAATAAACTTCTCACGCTATTTTTGCCTTTTCTAAAATACTGTATGGAACCATGTCCTAGGCAATGTTTTTTGTCTGGCTTTTTTTTTTTTCTGTTAACATCATGATCTTGAGACTCAATCATGCTGTTTGTATCAGTGGTTCATTCCTTCTTATTGTGAGTCTGGTGCATTGCATGAATGTACCACTATTTGTTTATCCATTTACCTGTTGACAGCAAATTGGGTTGTTTCTAGTTAGGGGCTCAGCCGCTCTGAGAATCCCAGTAGAATTCTTTGTGCAAAGATACGTTTTATTTTTCTTGGGTGAATGAATACCCGTCAGTGGGATTGTTGTGTTGTATTAAATGTCTGTTAGTGACATTATAAGAAATTGCTAACCTGTTGTCTGAAGCGGCTGTACTGTTTCACATTCTTCTGGTAACATATCAGTGCTCAGTTTCTTCACGTCTTTTCAACACTTGGTATTATCAGTCTTTAATTTTAACCATTCTGATATGGACCATTAATTACTCTTTGTGGTTTCAGTTTGCTCTTTCCTGATGATTTATGATGTTGGGCACCTTTTCTGTGTTCTTTGCCAGTCATATATATTCTTTGTTGAAATAATTTCTCAAGTCTTTTGCCCATTTTAAAACATGTTTTTTGTGTTATTATGGCATCTTAAGAGGTTTTTCATGGTCATTTATAATTTAATATGTGCTTTAATAATTTATATTTTAATATAGTTTCTATTACTAGTCCTTTAGCAGATAGATCCTGTATAAATATTTTCTCCTAGTCTGTAGTTTGCCTTTTCATCTTCCTAACAATGTCTTTGAGGAGCAAAAAAATTTAATTTTGATGTGGTCAATTTTTTCAGGTTTTCATGTGTGCTAAGAAATCTTTGCCTGACCCAAAATCACAAAAATATTCCCCTCCTCTAGAAGTTTTGTAGTTTTAATATTTAGGCATGTTTTTAGTTCATTTTTATAGCTGATACAAAATTTGAGGGAGACTTACAAATATTGAGGTTTGTTTTTTTTTTCCTGCCAACCTTTTTTTTGTTTGCACATGGAGATCACTTGTTGCAGGATTATTTGTTCAGAAGAATGTTCTTTTCCTGGTTGGAATAACACTTGGCATCTTTGTCAGATATCAATAGGCCATATCTGTGAAGGTCTGTTTGTGGATTCTCTCTTACTCCGTTGATCTAAAAGTTTGTCTTTGTGCAAGTATCACACTGGCTTGATGACTGTACCTTTTGTAATAAATCTTAGAATCAAGTAGTGATCATTTGGGGGAGAATTCACAACTTAACAGGACTAAATTTTCTGATGTATAAACATGAGGTCTCTATTTAAGCATGCTTTAATTTTCCTCCTCAGTATTTTCTGGTTTTTAGAATACAAGTCTTACTCAGATTTTCTTAATGATTTTATATTCATTGATGCTATTGTAAATGGTACTACTTTTGTTTTTAATTTTTTTTAATTGTTCACTGCTAACATATAGAACTAGTGCTGCTTTTTTATATATTGACTTTGTATCTTGCAACTTTGCTAAGATGATTTATTCCAGCAGCAGTTTTGTAGATTCCTGAGGATTTTCTATGTAGGCAGTCATCCTATCTCTGAATAAAGGAAGTTTTATTTCTTCCTTTCCAGATCCCTGTGCATTTTATTTCTTTTTCTGCTTTACTGAATTGGCTAGAAACCCCTATACAGTGTGGAATCAGTGTGATGAGCGTGGACATTCTTGCTTTGGTCTTGATCTCAGAGCGAAAGCATTTGGTCTCTATTAAGTATGATGCTAACTGTGGTTGTTTTGTGTGTGTGTGTGTGTGTGTGTGTGTGTGTGTGTGTGTGTGTGTGTGT